AAAAATAGCAGAGAAATAAAGTCTATCTATCAGTTTTGAAAGGGTTACAAAGCTCAGACTCACTTGGGTTATGCAGCATGACAAGTTCACCACTGAATGGCTAAAAAAAGAAAAGAAAATTAAGATTTTGGTGGGTCTAAGTCAAAAGCCGGACTCAAATCAGATTGAGATGCTTTGGTGTGATCTTAAACAGGCTGTTCATGCTTAAAAAGCCTTTAATGTGGCTGAATAAGAACATTTCTACAAAGAAGAGGGAGCCAAAATTCCTCCACTCTTATGAGAAAGACTCATTGCCATTTCTCAGAAACACTCGTTACAATTTTTGGTGCCAAGGGCGGCACAACATGCTATGAGGTTTAGGGAGGATTTTCACATTTTCACATAGGGTTATGAAGGTTTGGAAACCCTTTAAATGTGACAAGTGTGGATAAAATAAGAATACTAGATACTAGTTCATTACTATTGGTAATTTTGTTCTGAATGTCAGTACTTGTATGTTGTATTACCGATTCATTTTGCACATAAAACATGCAATCTCATATCTCCTGAATATTTTTGTCCTGCTCAAGCGTTACTTAACATAAAAAGGATTTCCATAATACTTTCTTTTTATAAAGAGTAGAGTACATGTGCAGAGTAAAAATGAGCAGCTCAAAACAAAAAAAAAATCCCCTCACTATGTATAAAGAGGCATTGAATTATTGTAATTTAAACTGCACGACAACCTCTGTTTAAGATTGCAACTCATCTGCCTTAACAAAGACCATAAAACCTTTCAGAGAGAATGTGTGAAAACACTAAACATTACAATGAGCTTCTGTTCTCTATGAGCGACTGATCAGTCACTCACCTCTTAAACTCTGCCCCACTTTGCACACAATCAACAGCTTGTGTTTCCGCTCATTATGAATTACTGCAAGTGGTGCCCGTACATGTTTGTGTCAGTCACTGGCAATAATAAAACAGATCTGTGTGTCTGAACTCAGCAGGACAGTATTTTAGGGTGTTGGTATTCCACAGTAGCTACATGCTAATAGCTCTTATTTCCTTTCCGGTGCACTGATTGATACAGGAATAAATGCATCTGCCACATGATCGAGTGACTGCCAGAATAATTAAAGGTTAGCTGAAGGTGGGCTCTCTCGAAACTGATGGTAGTTGTCTTCTCATTCTGCTTCAATACCTACGCTGGCTCCTGCTGAGCGTCGACTCTTTCTATCATGTACTGCTAATGCCATTATGGCTCCAAAAGCTGAGTGTTCACTAAGAGGGAAAGTTGGGTCACATGTTTGAATAGCTCCTCTGACTCTCAAACTCACCGCCTCATATTCTCATTAATAATTAGCTGTTCCTGAGTCCATTGTAATGCTGTGCTTCCCCCGCTGCAAAGAAGGCTCTTACATTTTTAAAGAATTCAATATAACTTTTGGCTTAATAGGAAATAAAAATGCAAATTTTCTGCTGGAGTATTATGGGTTTGCTTTGTGGATGCTTTCTAATAGAAGGTAAATAATGCATAAAAGAAAACAATTTGCATTTCATATATATATATATATATATTGGCTTTAGTTTGTAATAGTGCATCTGTACCTGTAGGTGTGCCCTTAACAATTCATCTCAGTAGAAAGAGACGTTGTTTGCATATAACCAATCAAAATGTTTTTTGAACCACATTTGTGTAATGCCGTGCTGTCACTCAGCTTTCATCAGCGCGCCTGCAACACCGGCAAAACACATTTATGAAAAACTGGGCTTCTTAAAAATGCATCTCGACGATCCTCAATCTCACAATTTAAACCTCTTTTGCAACAGCAAACTGCCACAGGAATGAAAGTGTTTTAAAAACACATAGATCACTCTGTCAAAAGTGGTGGCTCACTCTGTCAGTTGGGAGCAAAACAGTTATAGTGTCTATAGTCAAAATACTCTTAATGTCTTACTATGGCCCACTACACAGCTGCGTGACATCTGTTTGTCCTGTCACAGGAAGGAAAGACCACATTTCTGAAATATCCATTTAATTATTCAATTCAGTTTTATTTATTTAGCACCAAATCACGACAGCAGCCCCCTCAAGGCAATTTATAGTGTAAGGTAAAGGCCCTACAATAATAAAGAGAAAATAGTGATTAATATTGAATCTTTTTGCCAACATGGTGGTTAGTACTGTTGCCTCACAGTAGAAGAAAGAGTGTGGGCTGGTGTTGGTGATTCTGAATTAGCCCATACGTGTGAATTTGAGTGCTAATGGTTGTCTTTCTCTCGCTCTCTCTCTGTGCTAGCCCTGCGACAGACTGGTGACCTGTCCAGGGAGTGCCTTGCCTCTTGCAGCTGGGACAGGCTCCATTTCCCTTGCAACCCTGATCTACATAAGTAGTGAATGAATGGATAAATTCCACTTAGCTGCTTCATTTTCAAGGTCCTGGAAGGCACGTCATAAGCACAGCCTGTGCTCTTCCTTTTGACAGCAACCCAATATTCTTGTTGATTTGTGAAGTTTGGAGACTATGTGTAACTTCAGTAGAGTGTTGACTGTAATTCTAGTGGACGCGTAGTTAGATTAGATCAGATGCGCAGTGTTTAAAATCAGGGAATCTATATTTTAAATATGCAGTGATGTTTGCAGTCCATTTGTCGGTGTAAAAAATGTCAGTATATTCAGTCGACCAGAGAGAGAAGCTTAGCTCCCAGTCCAAAAATAACAAACAACAACAAAACAGTCTCACTTTCTCACAGGTTTTGAAGCAACAAAAACACATTTTTCTTTAGTTTAAATGTTATTAAAATACTCTACCTTTTTAATAGTAACATTGGGCCTAATGACAAGATCACATTTAACTGAAAGATGTGAGTGACAAAAACATTAACTTTATAAGACATAATTGGCCGAGATCACAAAGGGCAGCACAGACTGTCCCTTGTGGCCTCGGCTTGGGCAGCCAGGTTACAGGTGGACCTGCGCAGCTGGACCCTTTAATTTCCATAGCCTTTAACCTCTCACAGCTGAGGTCCAGCCAGGCCGAAATGAAGTGATTTGATAATCGCTCTCTGTGGGGCTCATTTGGGCCATGACAGGGTGTGTTTCCTTGAATTACAATGAACTGTACCTAACCAAAGCTCCTATGGAATTGGTGGCCACTTAAATCAGTAAAAAGCTCAGAAAATATAATAAAGAACCAAAACAAATATCCAAAAAATGAAACATGCACATGGAGAAGGCAGATATTTAAATACTGCATAACAGTTAATGATAATAAAATAGGGAGATACTATGGCTCCAGCAGAGGTATTAACATCTTTTTTTAAAGAGTACAGAGAGCCAACACCCTTAAATAAGTATGGGAATAGATTATGTATTTGTCTCATCGCCAGCAGCTTCATCTTTTCCCTCTATCTATCCCTCTCATTAATGTTTGTGGTAAGAGTGGTCGAGCGTGAGCCCGCCTGCTCTCCAATCTCCATATTAAAAATCAAAGAAAAGGTCAGCTTAACAACACCTAAACCGTTATTGACGGGTCAGGGGGATGGAGGAGGGGGAGAAGGGAGGGGAAGGTCGGTAATGCAGATAAATACTATAGGGCTGTGAAATTAAAACTGTCGAAATATGCAGATTAGGAGGGAAAGAGTGAGATCATTATTGAAGAAGAGTGGATGTGCACGTGGTTCTACTGTAGAAGGCACCTGAGGGTAGACAGTTATTGCTGTACTGAAGGAAAATGTCGAAATTTAGAAAATGCATTTGTATGTCTCTGTATCTGAGAGGAGAACCTATATTCATAGCCCCATAGAATGTATAAGGTAAGCAGGTTTAAAGATATTAAACCGACTGTGGGATCATAAGCCCACTTTAGAAAAAAATCACACTCTACTTAATCACTGTACAGTGAGGATATTGCTGACTCCCATAATCATTGTCATTTTTTTTTATGGCATTTCATGCTTTAGACACCAGAGGTGGACCAGGAAAAAAAAAGGAAGAAGAAGCTGGGAGAAAGGCAGTGAACTGGAGAATTTTGATGACTTAAAAACAAACATGTGCTCCCTCAAACCATTTTTCTTTGAAAAGGGGAGGAATGATGAGCAGATGGGTCTCTTTCACTGCAATTCACAGGGGTCCTCCTTGAGCAGTTCCATTAACCTTTTATCAATGTATGGAGCACAAAAGATCATTGCACAGGCACAGTGTCTTCTGGCCTTACTTAGATAGGCAGGGGGTGTAATTTTAGTATTAATTCAACAACCATGCATCATTACTGATACTCATTCTGTGGTGTAATTGCTTTGTGGATCACAACTGCAGTGATCTGTAAGAGAAAGACTCATATTTTTTACATGTGTAAAATTCAGACGTCAGATTGCATTCCCTGATTTAACAGGCAGTCACACAGCGTTACATCAACATTTCACAGCAGAGAGTTTTGCTGACTAAAAACGCCATGGGCGGCACAGAGGTGCGTTGTTTAGCTTTGACATCCCACATCAAGAAAAGGTTTAAATTTCCTAATCTCTGGGCCTTTTTTCTATGGAATTTGTTCTCCTCTGACTGTGTAGGTTTGCTGCAGGCTTCCTCCCACAGAACAAAGACATGCACGTTAGGTTAATTGTTATTTCTAGATTGGCTGTTGTTGTAAATGTGCTTAACTGTGTAGGATAAAGTTTTGCACGTGAAAAATGAAAATGTCCAAAATTTGAGCTTAACACAATCCCAGCAGTTGGGATGATAACAGCAAATTATCAGCAGCTGCATGGTAAAGTACTATAACTTTCCAATATCAAATTTCATAAAAGAGGTGGTATTTGAGTTTCTTTAAAATACTTACATGTGTTTGGCAAGCCACTTTGCAACCCACCTCGACCCCAGCTCCTCACATTTGTGCTTTGATGGCTGCTCTGCTCTGTGTGTGTGCGCGCTCCAGAACAAGAGCCATACAGCTCTTTATTTTCTTTTTTTTTGATTGATCCATTTCAGTAAAATCTAACTTAATCTCTTTCTCCTACAGATCCATCCATGCGTCACAGGCAGAAGACAGTGGTGACAGACATGTGCTACCCAACAGAAATATCCAGCCTGATGGACTTTGGCACACCAGACTGCTCGCTAGGCAAAGGTACTGTGGCGCTCCAAAATACAAGATGTTGCCTTGGTGACAGCAGGAAGTGAGAATGGTGAAGACAGACACCGAGCTGTCAGCTTGACTTGTGGGTGCAATGGGGGGTTAAAGCTGAGCAAAAGGCTGCACAGGCTAGAGGGGGGTGAGAACAGTCAGATAACAGCACTTGGTGCCTGACCACGAGGGCTTTACCATCCATCGCAGCCTTTGATTTATCGCAGCTAAATAACGTGTTTTGTTTCCCAATGCAAGACACAGAAGTGCTGACACCAAATTGGGGGACTCGATTGATTCTCAGAGAAAAACATTTCACTCTGCAAACCGCTTCAATCTGAATGGAACTATATTGATGTTTATTGCGCTAGAGTTACAATGCAGCATGCAGTTATTGCAGGGCTGCGTGGCCACTTACCTCCTCCAATCACTGCTGTCAGTGTGCAGCTCAGGATAATAGCCTCTGTCAGTTTCTGAAGTGCAGCAGTCAAAGTGACCAGTGTGTATCCGTGGCACAAAAGGTTTCGATCATGAGGTCAATTGATTGTATGTCCATTGTTGCTTGTGTCCGTTAGTGTTTCTCATTCTAATGACTACTATTGTCCGCGCTTGTTCTCAAACCAGAAAGTCTGCACTGTAATTGTAATTCCGGTCTTTTCTTCCAAGTCTAAAGCCTCGAAGCTGGAAGAACATGCTCGGTTGCTGTTCGACAAGTCTGATGTCATTTCCATCGACAATGAGCACCGGCTCTAGTGACCTCGGCCACTCATTCTCCTGCTTCTCCCACTGCCTATTGTTGTTTTGAGTTTTCTTCCTTTCCTCCTTTTTTTTATACAGCCTGTACTCTCTGTAGGCAAGCTAATATTTTAATCCCACTTCATCCTAACTCTCTATCAGCACTCCCCAGTGCTGATAATGCAGACTGACAGGTCAACCGTTCTCTGCTGAGAGAAGGGAGAGCAATACAGCAGAGGAGAGTGGAGGGTAGAAAAAGAAGGCTTTTAGGATTTCTTCTTGCTTTAATTTTAGCAAAGCAAATGAATGACATAGTGATACAGGTAGTTGAGCTGAAGAATAAGGGCACAGAGGAGTGGAAAATTTCAGACTGAAGAGGTGTCAGAATAAAAGCAATACTGCATGTGAATAAAATTTGGTGTAGCTGCACCATGACTTTAGATTTATGAAGTACTACATTTGACGAAAAAAAGTATCTATTTAAATAAAGACAAAGAAAACAGGCAGATATAGAAAGGTTCAAATATTAATTTAAGTGAATATAATTACATTATTATTAGATTGAATCATTCAAAAGTTCTAATAAACTAAATCAAGGATTTATGATACAGGCCATACCCTAAACCCAAAGCATTTGCAGCATCTGCCTTTCTCTACAACGAGATAAATCTCCTTCTTTTTGATGTCTTACAATAACTGCCAATGAAGAGTTACTGTTGCAATCTTTACTCTGAGCTGTGATCGGACAGAGAAAATGAGCCTGGCAGTAATCCTTGAGGTGTCAGTGCGTGACTGACAGATCCATTGCCTCATGTGACAAGTATCTGGTTTGACCACATTTGATCTTTGGACGGAGTTAAAAAGCTAAGCATCAACCTCTGACAGCCGGGACAAACGGCGCAGCTGCTCTGAACTGCTGTCACATCTTTACATGCAAGAGATTTAACTGACGTTTCTGTGACATACAAACACTCCTACACACACAAATATATCATGCTTACACTTTAGTATGCTAGTTATGTTGCTCAGGTGCTCATAAACTTAAAAAAAAAAAGGTTTCTATCTAAGTGGGCCCTTTAGGCTGAATTAATTCAGGTACAGCCCTGTCTCTTTTCTTCAAATCACCTCACTGTACCTGCCTTTGGGTTTTGAGCCTGAAAAGGCTCGAGAAAAAAACTGGACCAGCCTTCGCCTTATTTATTATTAATCTGTTCAAACACATCCCAGTTCCTATCTAACGTGGCACAGTCTGTCCTTACTCAGCATTGGGCAAAGACCGATCCCATCCCCAGCAGGTTAATGATAAGGTGCATTGCTCATACTAATGTTCTAATCTCATTGTGAAGAGGTAAGGCGGTTTAGTTTGAAGTAATTCGCCACTGTTTTGGTCCTTTTTCTCCTCTTTAAAGCGCTTTATACTGAAGTTTATTTGGCTGTGTTTGGAGGGGGATTTGTTTTCCTTTCTATGGCCAAAACACACATTCGCATCCAGGAAGTGAGCACTGTACACTCATGTAGAGGCCCACAGAGAGTGCATAGCTTTCACAGAGGGGTGTATCCTCCTGCGTTCAGCTGGTGGAGTGTAAAAGCACACGCTTCACCGTGTTCTCGGCCATCAGGTGGGGTGAGAACGCCACTGACTCACCTGGCTCATTACCTGAGGGCCTTGGTGCAGTTTGTATTCCCCGCCCCCTCCACCCTCCCACAAGTGTGTAGGAGGCGGG